AATGGTCAAACTCTTTTTTTAAGCTATTCCTAGATCGTGTCCCTATCTTTGAAGGTTCCATCTTCGAAGGCTCAATTTTAAAAGCTATTTAGAGATCTCATTATGGATCCTTACTATAATTACCCCCCCTACATACCAAAGCATATAAACCGTGGGAATCGCCTCCCCCGATCGACCGATTTGCCACCCCAGAAGAGGCCTTACCGAGCTCATTAAGTGGGTAGCTACCCTGGTGTTCTCGGTAGTACGCATACGTACTAAACCGCAGAGAAAGCAATGGCTAAAATGCAACCTAACAGCACCAACGCGAGCCCCTATCCCGGAAGAAAAGAGCCAGCGGAAGCGGTTTCGTCTAGCGACAACATACGAATTCAATGGCACCCTTTCTCCCCTTCCTTGTGGTACTTAGCTACTACAGATGCATAGCATAACGCACATACATGCGCCCCGGCATATATCGACCTTTCGTATACACCATCGGTTCGAAACATCTCGCATTGAGCCGGTTTTGACACCTTAGCTTCAACAAGGTACTACCAACCGTCACATTCTTAGCGGGGTAGACCAATCTACCGAAATATAGGGTATAGAATCATCTCTACGGCCCAAAGATATCGCCAATATTCGTGCAAATCTCCAGCGCGAATTCCTTGGTGGTCTTACTCCTATACAGGCCTTGCTCGCTAAACTTCCTATGGACAAGGGATGGATCGTTAGGTATAAAGTTAATACCTATGATAACTCTCTCTAGTGTCTATTCATGGTTTATCGCACGAGTCTCGAGTAGACTTCCGCAAAGCTCGAAAAGCCCGAAACCCGCCCGACTCGACCCTCAAAAGGGTCGGGTTTCGGGCCTATCCCCAAAGGTCGCAGCGGGCTTCGGGCTTTTGGTTTGGGCCCACAGCTCGGATGGGGGGGGGCCCCCGAGCCCCCCCTTCGACTAAACAATGCAAACATGCCGATTTCTCGTGACTGCACAAATAATGCAGGAATTCCCGGTAAATTTGAGTATTTCGATTACATCGTTCACTTCAAATTCAATAAATTATTGATTTGTTCAAGCATATATTAAAGTATTGTGATCAATTTCAGTGTAAACTAATGAGACTGACACACATCATCCTCTACATGCTTCCTTTTCCTCCCTGACATACGTGGCTGAGTACTATAACTTGGCAATGGAGGATCGCCAGCATCATTATCACCAGTATTATCATCATCAACATCAAACAAACCCCTAGAAA